TAATGGTCGTTTTAATGGCCATAGCCTTCACATTGGCCACTCCATGGTTCAGGAGAAACAAGTTGAATGTACCAAAACCCCTCAAGAGGCTCACCGGCTTCAATGCCTTTTGGTACTCACACCACCTCTTTGTCATCGTCTACGTCCTTCTCGTCGTCCACGGCATCTACCTCTACCTCACCAAGGAATGGTATAAAAAAACGGTAAGCAAGCTTGCTAATAACTCTCTAGTGAAATCTGTATGTTTGGTTTTGTAATGTGGTGTGTGAATTTGCAGACATGGATGTATTTGGCGGTGCCGGTTTGTCTGTACGGGTGCGAGAGGCTTATAAGAGCTTTCAGATCCAGTATCAAGCCCGTGAAGATTCTCAAGGTGAGTGTTGTTGGTGCAGCCAATTCTTCTATGCTCTATTGCTCTGATCCTATATTCATCCATTTAAAGCATTGCATTAAATAATTGTGTAGGTGGCTGTGTATCCCGGAAACGTTCTCGCGCTGCACGTGTCGAAGCCACATGGGTTCAAGTACAAGAGCGGGCAATACATGTTTGTTAACTGTGCAGACGTATCCCCCTTCGAGTGGTATGTTGAAATACCATACCCTTACTTTGTGTATATCTTCCTTGTTATTGGAAAACTAAAAAGATATCTTTGAATATACAATTACAGGCACCCATTTTCAATTACTTCAGCTCCAGAAGATGAGTTTTTGAGCGTCCATATCCGGACACTTGGTGACTGGACAAGGCAGCTCAAGACTGTGTTCGAGGAGGTTTGTCAGCCTCCCCTAGCTCCAAACCCCAAGTAAGAAATCAAATCAAATCAAATAAGGGATAGAGACAAATGTTTTTAATAATAAAATATTGTTGGCAGGTTACCAAAAATATTGATGGACGGTCCATACGGAGCGCTGGCACAGGACTACACGAAATACGAGGTGGTGCTGCTGGTGGGGATGGGGATCGGGGGGACGCCGATGGTGAGCATAGTGAAAGACATACTCTACAACATGAAGGAGGATGAGAGAGAGGCGGAAGCGGAAGCGGAAGCGGAAGCGAATGCAATGGAGAAGGGGCAAGCGCAAGGGCAGAGGAGCCGACAGGGGAAAGGGTTCAGGACCAGGAAGGCGTACTTCCACTGGATGAGTCGAGAGAAGGGTTTGTCCAAGTGGTTCAAATGGATAATGATGGAGGTGGCAAAGATGGACGAGAGGCGCGTGATCGAGGTTTACAATCACCGCACCAGTGCGTACGAGGAGCGTGACACCCGGTCCGCCCTCATAGCCATGCTTCGGTCCCTGCACCGCGCCAAGAGCGGCCTCGACGTTGTCTCCAGGCGACGTGTCAAGTCCCACTTTGCAAAGCCCAACTGGCGCCAAGTTTATAAGATTATCACTCTCAACCACCCGCACACTCACGTTGGTGGGCCCCCCACTCCACTCCCACTCTCTCTCTTTTTCTTTTTTCTTTTTTCTTTTTTTTTTCTACTCTTATCTATTAATTATTTTTAATTTTAAAATTTTTTGTAGGGGTGTTTTATTGTGGGGCACCGRCACTRAYGAAGGAGCTGAAGGAGTTGGCTTCCGATTTCTCCCGCAAGACATCCACCAAGTTCGAGTTTCATAAGGAGATCTCTTCTAGTTTTGAATCTGATTAAAAAAAAAAATCTATAGAGTATTTTAATTAGCATTTTTAAGGGGCAATAGCGCAGCCGCCGCGTTACCCCTCGATTCTTTTTTCTTTCCTTCAACTTGTATCTTTAATTTCTTTTGTTTTTTTTTCTATTTAAGTTTTTTTTTCTTTTGTCCAATTATATATATACACACGAAAGTAAATATGTAATGTAGTGATCCTATGTCAACCAAGAAAATCTAAGTTTGTTGTGAGATTGGATTCTCCATAGGGAGCTTTTTTTTTCCTTCATTTTTCTAACGAATTTCATCCTCAGGAAACACATAATAACATTTTTTGTTCTGGGTCATTCTTTTTTTCACTCCCAGAGTATTTGAGTTATTTTATAAACATCTTGACTTAATTTTAAGTATGATGATATTTGAACTCATTTTGCAGGGTATAATTATGTGTATACCATCAAATGTAATACTTTCAATACTATGTCAGATAATTTTTTTCTATTTGAATACAATGTGGGGGTTGTGGGGTGGGATTCGAACTCACGATCTGTTGATTTTATATAGGTACTCATTAATGTTGAGTTATATCAATTCAGATATGACAAAATTGCCATAAATATCATATTTTTTAATTTTCACCGGATTTGTTGAAGTAAAAAAGAAAAAAAAAAAAGAGGAGAAAGAAAGACAAATGGCAGGTGCCTAGATTTCTAGATATTTTTTTAAAAATTAAAATTATGAAGAGAGAATAAAAATTATGGTTAGATTTTTTTTTCTCTCCTTTGCGCATCATTTTCTTACATTATATTGATCAAAGTTTATTTAGGGGATTACCTCAAAAAAAAAAAAGTTTATATAGAGGACTTTTTATACGATACCTTGTACATCAAATATGAAACTTAAGAATTTAAACTTTCAATCTCAAGAGAATGAGCTATATACTTTTAGTGATAACCATTGATGTTAGTATAATTATACTTATAATTAAACTTATAAGTTTATAATCATCTTCCTATTTATTTGTTTCGTGTTGGGCAAAAATTAAATGTTTATTATGTATGAATTTGTCCATAGGTAGTTGATGAGAGAGAGGCAAATGACCTGTGATTTTCTAATTAAAAGAGATTAAGCCAACTTAATTTGAACGGCATATTTAACATCGTGATAATAATGACGATGTGTGTGTCGATTAGACTATAAACTAAGTTTCAAAGTTTTTAATAATAAGTTATTAATTAATTACATATAATGGAATAGGAACTTGTGATAAATATTAGTGACATTAATCAAAAGAAATATAGATGGGATATGATTGAATATATCCACACTAAGAAATAATTATTAAAGTTTTGTCGGATAGATCAGTTGTCCGCCCACATGGGATTGGGATGAAAATGCAAAAGGTCACTGTCAGGTCTATATTATTGCAATAATAAAAAGGCATCACCACCACGAATGGTGTGAGCAGATTTTTCAAGGAAAAAATAACACAAAAAGCCAAAGCAAAATGTTATTGTTTCACTATATTTGGTAGGATTGAAAGTACTTTTTGTCTAGGGTAATGTTAAGGACAACGATACGTTCAAGTATCTCTAGTATGATATAATTAACCTAACGCCTTTGGTTTTAGACCTAAAAGACTTCATACCATGRAGATAATTATCTTCTCTTACGATACGGTAGATCATTCTCTTTCCTAATTAATGTGAGACTTTATTTACACTATTTTACAAACCCAACAATTAAATTTAAACTTTTATATAAAATTATCATGCTTTGCAGTAACTTAAAACGAAGAGTGYTTTTAATCATAAGAAAGCATTTATAGAATGCTTTTAGGTTGAGTAGTTAGTCAAGAAATGCTTAAAGTTAAAATTTTGTAAGAAGGTAGTAGCAATAATCAATATGATTTGTTATTAAACTCTTATTTTAATAGTGAAGTAAAGATACTTCTATGTGACTTCACTATCCAAGATGTCAATTTATTGTTGTCTTGTTAAATAGATTTATTGAGCTAGATATTATCTTTAGCACGGGAATCTCTTAAAAGAGACTTCTTGTAATTCATTAATACGTCCCTTCGAAGATATATCATTTTAATTTATTTTGTTTTACTTTATTTTTTCTCGTCAAGTTCTTATTTGAACTATTGTAAGCATATATATCAATAGTTATGGGTAGTGTAATCTAAATACCACCTATCGGATGATTAGAAAGTCACGTGGCTAAGACATGACGAATTGCGTCCAAAGTTGAGGGAGACCGACCTTAGGGCGAGACGCAAATATAGAACACAAGTTCGCATGAAAAGCCAGAACACAAGCCTAGGGGAAGAACAAATAGGACTTGAACTAGCGATAAGATAGAGAAGGACGTTACATTGGGTTTCCCCCGTCACCGACAAACCGACAAGCGGACGCCTTCTAGATGACTAAATGTGTGTAGGGACTAGGTAAAAATCAATTGTTGCCTCACTGAAATAGGGCTATTGTGGTAGCATGACGATCATGGAAGGTAAGCAACAAAACCTAACTGATTGATCCCCTCTGCTAATTTTGATATTTGGGTGTCATGAGCTCACACCAGTAGTACTGGTGCTAGATTTATTTCAATGCAAGACTTAAGTACAACCGATGATCCTCCAGTGACGATGAACGATATGTCATGTCTGAAGTTTTACATCGACATTAATGAAAGAAATTATAAGTTAACTAGTGTCGTAGTATCAAATAGGATAATAATAGAGGCAATATAATTGCATGAATGTCATTAAATAACTCCTCCAAGACATCAACAGTGGAAGAAAAGATACAGTGAGTGATATGATGTTGCTTAAAATTGTTGTGAAAATAGGTCATTGCGTCAAGTGGATAATGAACAGAGAGTTAAGGGAGAAATAAATGCCAAATCACATAAAGCATGGAAATTGGAAATTATGATAACAATTATTGAGGACCAAGTATCAATGGTTTACGTTGGAGGGATAGCACCAAATAATTGACACAACATGTCATCCATCTCTCAATCCAGAGCAACACGAGAGTTCCAAAAAATATAAGTTAAAAAGCTATACTATCGTATTTAAGGTATATAATGTTGATGCAGAAATTTGGCCTCTTAGGATTCCGCCAAATTCACACCAATCTTCTAGAATCAAAGAGATCGACAATACTTGCAAAACAGAATAGCATTAAAGACTAGTGTGGCTCTTGCCACACAGGCTCCGATGCTTAAGTCAGAATCAGAGTAGTTGAGTGTAAAGCATAGGATGTTGTGAGCATACCTTTAGGGTTTGGCTTACTTCCCTATTTATAGGAGTTAAATCCTGATCCCTCTGGGGTTTGTGGAATTCGAATTCTGATACATCTAATAAATCTGGTTATCTGAATCTGGGAAGAATCTTGAGGCAATCAGGATATCTTCTCCGTTTGAATATAGGATATCTTCTCCTGAATTATATGACATCCAGATATATCTTCCCTCTTGAATTCCGTGGAATTCGAATTGTAGAAAATATGGATTTTCTCATCCATAACAATAGTCCCACTCTCAAAGTTAAAGATTGTCAAAGTTCTGCTTTGAGAGTATTTTGTCGTTCATGACTTGACTATTTTTGTGGAATAGCCTCTTTTTGGTAGCCATTCATTGTCGTCTTAATTATGCTGACTTTCCTAACTCTCATTCTCTTTTGTTGTAGTTGCCTACCATCAAGTCTCTTAACATTGAGAGTACTTGTCGTTGTCAGTTGTCGCTTTTTATGAGCTGACTGTCATAGCCCTATTTTCTTTTGTTGTAGTTGGCTGCAACCAAGTCCCTTAGTGTTGAGAGTATTTGTCGTTATCAGTTGTCGTTTTTATGAGCTGGCCTGTTATAGCCCTCATACCCTTTTGTCGTAGTTGGCTGTATTCAAATCTCTTGGTTTACTCTTAGGTATCCAACCTACTTGGCTTTTGCCAATGGTTTTATACCCTAAGTCCAGTCGATACCCTTTTGTGGTTGTCGGTTGTCGTTTTATGAGCTGGCTGTCATAGCCCCCATTCTGTTTTATTGTAGTTGGCTGCAATCAAGTCTCTTAGGCACTGTTATACGGTTAGTTTTAACCGTTAGATTTTGGCCTTGGGATCTAACTTTTAATAGGGCCAGTGGTACTTCCTTTGGGTTTGTAACCTCTTTGGCTTTTGCCCATATTTTATACCTTAGGGTTTACTCTCGAGTTTCTAACCCATTTGGCTTTTATACCCTGAGTTTAGTCGGCACCCTTGGGTCTCTAACATATTTGGCTTCTGTCGGTTTTTTACCCCAAATTAAATCAACACCCTCGGGTTTCTAACCTATTTTGGCTTTTGCTACATGGTTTTTTACCAATGGGTTTCATTGATTGGTTAGGCTTGCCTGCTTTCTGTTTTAACCTTGTTGGGCCTGTACGCATGCCTTTTTCAGCACTTTGGGATTCTCTTCCTTGGTTTCACTGTGTGGCTTCTAGCTTATCGGCCTGCTCCTAGGTCTGTCCCAGTTCGAGTTCCTTGACCAACTGTTGATTTACTTGCCCATGCTCCCACTTGAAGGATTTTCATTTAGAGTAAAAGATAAACGCTCAAGTAGTAAAGATGTAATTATATTTCAGATGCTAGGAACTTTTTTAAATCACAAACGAGTAAGTATCTTTGGAAACATAATATCATCATGTAGTTACCAAAAAATCAGTCCTAAATTATGTGATGGTTACCAGAAAATTAAACCTAAACTTTCGTAATCATAAACAACCAGAATTACACGGCAAACTTACCATCGTCTGAAGTAGAAACTTCGTATGCTAACCAGTTGCTTTTTCTTTTATGAGATTTGTTGACTCGTTTATCCTAGAATCTGTTTTGGAATTCGTCAATTTATCTCATCCAGGATATATCCTGGAATTTGTTGATTCGTTTGTTATGGGTCATGTTTTAGAACTTATTGATTTGTTTTTTTCTCGGCTATCTCAGGTAGGGGAAGCCCCCGAGTCGTATGACATTCGTCGTTAGAAAGTTGTGGTCTGCCTCCAGAATACATGTTGATTCGTTTCTCCTAAGATCTCCTTGGATCTAAGCAGTTATCTGTCAATTCGTCGTCAATTGTCTTGACTTTTAGATCTCAGTCGTCCCCACAGACGGCGCCAATTGTTGATGCAGAAATTTGGCCTCCTGGGATTCCGCCAAATTCGCACCAATCTTCTAGAATCAAAGAGATCGATAAGACTTGCAAAACATAATAGCACTAAAGACCGGCGTGGCTCTTACCACACAGGC